CCCGCCTCGGCCACCGTGAGGCCGCCGGGCAGTCGCACCGCCGACAGCGTGGGCGGGAAGCTCGTCACGTGCTGGTCCGCACGCACCGCATCGCGCTGCAGCAGCTCGAGCGTCTCCTGCATCACCTGCATGTCGGCGCTCAGCTGCAGCCGGTTGCCGCCAAACGACCACTGCGGCGAGCTGGCGAACCAGCCGAGTCCGAGCTTGTACAGCGCGTCGCGCAGCTGGTGCTCCACCAGCCCCTCGAGGCGGCTCGTCTGGATCACGCGCAGCCCAAAGTTGAGCAGCGTGAATCGCACTTCTCTGGCGAGCGGGTGGGTGCTCATGCGGTCGGCCGCCGCGCCCGTGTGCTGAATGAGCCGCACGAGCGCGAGCACCATGGTGGGATCGCGGTACCGGAACGCCTGGAAGCGGCTCGAGATGAGGTGCACCAGCGTGAGGTGCGGCGTAAACAGCTTGGCCGCCTGCTCCTGCTCGGCGGTAATCTCTTCGCGATTGAACGCGCCCATCTCGGTCTTGCGCAGGAACGGATGCTTGGTCGAGAGGCTCGACGAAAACACGCCCTTGCGCGCACGCGCGCTCATGGCCCAGCCGATGGTGAGCTCGACCATGATCTTGGTCTCCACCTCGGGGCGTGCGCCGATGACCCACGTCCACACCTGGCACGCCGTCGAGATCGCCTCGGGCGTGAACACGAGGAACGGGATCGACACGATAAAGTGGAGCAGCTCATAGTCTGGCTCGGGCAGCGCCACCACGAGCGCTGCCGTGCGGTACAGCAGACGGCGCAGCTCGGCAAACGGCAGCGCCTTGCGCTTGACGCTCACGTCGTTGGAGAGCGCCGCAAGCTGCTTGCGGCACGCGGCGACGCTGGCGGGCGACATGGTGTTGGTCGGGTCTTTGGACAGCTCTACGAGGCCCTTGGTGAGCGCGAGGTGGATGCCCGTCATCTCGCCCAGATATGTGTTCTTGGCCGACAGCTCGCCGATGAACGAGCTGCTGGCGTCTGAACGCCAGCCGCCCAGCTGGGGCAGCAGACGCTCCTTGCGCGCAGACACGGGCATGCTGCGGGCATACTCGAGCGCCACGCTCTTGCCAAGCTCGCTGCGGTCCGGGAGGATGGAATCGTCAAAGGTGCCCAGGTAGCGTTCGAGGATGCCCTGCAGCTCGAGTGGCGCGAGCGCCATGACGAGCGAGAGGTACTCGCGCGACTTTGCGAGGAACTGCGTGAGGATCTCGTTCCTCTGCGCATACGAGTCGGAGAGGTCAAACTCGATGCCGGCGCGTTCCGAGACGTAGTGGTACGTGGGGGCGTACTCGTCCTTGTACTCTGCCTCGCATCCGTCGCGGAGGAGCGTCAGCACCTCGAGCATGGTCGTCACCACGTCCTGGTCGCACAGCAGCGAGGGGAGCGCGTACACGAGCTTGTTGAGGATGCTCTGTGCCACCTGGCGCACCTTGGCGACGCGGTGGCAGCATCCGAGCATGAGGTTCTTGACCTCGCTCGACACGCGTGGGTCGAGCGAGTGTGCATTGACCTGCATACCCAGATCGCGGATGAAAAAGTCGATCACCTTGTCGGCGATGGCCTGCATGGCGCCGACGAGCGCGCTGTTGTTGAGGCCCTCGTTGGTAAAGTAGGAGAGCACCATCGACGGCCGGCCGCTGCGGCTGCGCAGACACTCGAGGTCGTAGATCGTCGACAGGAACGTCACCTGCGCATAGCTGAACGCGCGGATCTCGGAGGCGTGCGTGGGGATCACTGCGCCCAGCGCCTTGCGCTGCGAGTCGAGCGTCTGATTGGAAAACTCGCGCTTGAGCACCGAGTTGTACTCGAGGTCGCTCTCGAGATAGTTGTGCGCCGTCTCGGGCACCAGCGTGGGCGTCTTGAGCGAGATGGAGCTGAGCGAGCGACCCACGATCTCGGCCTGCGCCTGGGCGGCCGAGGCGGGGGGCGCGAGCGCGGTGCCGTCGGCGGCGACGCTGGTGCGGATGTTGCTGGGCGAGGCAAAGCCGAAAAGCACCGAGAGGAACCACATGTTGCGGAAGAGCGAGACCATCTCGGTGGTGGGCTGCACCTCTGGGTGGATGTCCTTGTGCTCGAGCACGGCGGCGATGGCGGGGAGGAGGGTGGCGAGGTCGGTGTTGAGCTCGGCGAGCTCCTCTGCGCTGCTCTTACCCGAGGTGGCGACGGTCTGCAGCTGCATGCCCTTTTCGGCAAAGAGCTGGAGCAGCTCGATGAGGAAGATCTCCTTGCGTCCGCCCGACGCCTCGTTGTCCTCGGCCGCCGACGAGTCGCGCTCGTCGCGCTCATCCAGACGGCCGAGGCCGCGTGCGAGTTTGAGCTGGGCGGACTCGACGGCGACGGCGGCGCGACGGCTTGCGCCACCCTGGAGGGCGTTCCTCGAGGTGGCGGAGAGGGCGCGGACGACATCGACATATGCGGACCTGGGGCCTGCGAGGGCGAGGGGCACGACGTTGTCGAGGATGGCAGCCTCTGCCGAGACGTCTGCGTTGCGGAGACGCTGGAGTAGCATCGAGATGGTGAGCGCGGTGACGTCTGGCTTGCCTACCTCGAGGGCGAGGCGGGAGATGACGGTGATGGTGCTGAGGTTGATGAGCTTGCGCTGTTCTTCGGAGCGAGCGGCGATGTTGGCCTGCGTACCCGAGAGCGGCAGACCGTTGACATGGTCGCGGGCCGTGACGGCGCGCGAGGCGCCACTGCGGACCGAGACGCCGCTACCCGCCACACCACCCACGCCG